GTTAAAAAGTTAACACTATTCACCAAAAGTCAACAATTACGGCTGCACAACTCTCAATTTGAATTTTTCCCTACAAATCAATTTTTACAATTTTTTATTGCACATTTTTTCATAAAAAGTCAAAAAGTTAATCCAAACATCCATATTTTCAACCTCAATTTTTTAGTCCAAAAAAATAAAAAATATACTTATTTAAAACATCCCAAACAACCCTTAAAAATCTTGTTACTTACACTAACTTCAGCATTAGAGTACCTGACGGTCCTCCAATAGTCAGTCTAAGGTCTTTACTTTTTTTGTGTTTCGTAGAATTAGTGGTACATCACAAGCATTTTTGTTCATTCACTAGAGTAGAAAACTGCCCCTTGCAGCTACAAATTTTTATTTTTATTTTTTTGGTACGAAATTTTGAATGTAAAAAATTAATCTTGAAACATCCAAGTGATTTCTCCACTTTTCTCATTGGAACTTATCATTGGTTCGTTTAAAATTGAGCAAAGACGGGGGTATGTTTGGTTTGCATTTGGGAGATGAGTTTTGGAAAAAAATTTCTAAAAAATTGTTTGGTTTGAGTTTTTCTCAAAAAATTTCTAAAATCACTTTCTCTCTCTTATACATCAATCAATCACTTTTTCTCTCTCATCTCTCCTTCTCAATCACTTTTTCTCTCACACACATCTATTCAAATTCTCCCAAAATATCAAATCATCCCAAACTCCCAAAAAAACAACTCTCCCAAAAACAAACCAAACAAGCCCAAAATCTCCTTCCATCATGCTTTTCTCAGTTTCAAAATTAAAATTTTAAACGAATCAAATTTTAATCAAACTAATAATGAGCCAAACTCAAATAATTTGATTTTTACAACACATAATTTTATTGAGTTGAATATTACTTGTTCAAATTTAATTTGAAAGATTAATGAATTTAAAATCATGTTTAAATCTGATTTATTAATATGACAAATTAATCTCAAACAAACTTTTAAAATATTAAATATAATTTTACATTTTAAGACAGATGGGGATTTTTTTTAAAGTCCCTGATATTAAGATTTTATAGCATAAAAAACACAATATTTTTATAATGTCTAAGGCCCTTCAATATCAATTCAGAGAAAATTGAGCACCCAAAGAAAATTACAATCCAAAGAGAGTTGAATACCTAGAGAAAATTTCAATTCAGAGAAAATTGAACAACCAGAGAAAATTTCAATCTAAAGAAAATTGAACAGCTAGAGAAAATCTCAATTTAGAGAAAATTGAACAACCAGAGAAAATTTCAATTCTAAGGACATCAATTCTCCTCCAGATTTGCCAACAAAAATACCATTCAAGAACTTTGTTGAAAAAGATAATTCTTAGAGTAGGGCTTAAAATGGCGATCATGATGAGGAGAAGCCAAGAAATGATTTGAACAATGATGAAATCACAATCTTGAAGAGCATTCTTGATTACTACTCCAAGAATGGGATATACCCATTTCACAATTCCCCTACCTTGCATGATTTTCTCAAAAACTCACTTTAGATTGATGTCCATCCATGGGATTTGAATGATGAAATCTCCAAATTGAGGGAAAAATACATCAACATTCAGGAGAAAGAGAGTGACATGAATGCTGATGATGATCATCTGAATGTGTTCAATGAAGATAAGAAGAAAAAGGGTTTGAGAATTGAAGAAGAGCAAGACTTGTTTGAGTTTCCTTTCCTAAAAGAATCATTACATTTTGGTAAGAATTTGAATGCTCTGAGATTGGTTGGAAACTCAAAGCTGAAAGAGGTGGATGAGAAATGGAGGAAGTTGCAGGTGGAGGAACTCGAGTTCTTCTTGAAGCGATAGGATTTGATTCGTGAACAAACAAAGCTCATACTCGATGCAATTTAAGTCTAGTGTCATAGTAAGCCTAAGACAACAGATTGCAAAAAGCTTTATATTCTTGTTTGGATTTCCCTCTTTCGCCGTCAGTCTTCCACAATCTCATTTTAGCTCAGATCGTAGTGGTCTAACTCAGATCGTGGTGGTTCACAGCTCAGATCACGGCATTCTGGCAACAGCATGGTAGAGATAGAGGCGGAGGTAATCCGACAACATTGGAGATGAAGACCGAGAGAGGAGAAAGGAGCAGAGAGAAAGAGGAATGTGCACAAAGAGAGAAGGTTTGGTTTGGATAGAATGAAGATCGGAAAAAGACAGAGAGGGAGAGAGAGTCAAATTTCTTTGATCTGATATATGAGTGTAGGTTTAGGATTTTAGACATAAAAAAATAATATTATGCATCTCTTCCATTACTACAAAATGAGAGAGGAATATCCAAAAAAATAGATCTATTTATCACATCATTCTAGACTTGTCTTAAATCTCAAATTTAAATTTACATCATAAAATTATGTTTCTAAGTAAATGTTGAAATAATTTTTTATGATTCATATTCATAAGAGCATCTCCAATGGAGCTGTTATATCAGTTGTCAAAGCTAAAAAATGACAGGAATGACAAAAATGAATCTCCAATGGTCTGCTATTTCACTTGCCAAAGATGGCAGATGCCATATGTGTTCGCAAATTTGGCAAGTGAAATGGCAGATGCCAACCTTGCCAGATCAGCAAAATCAACAGGAATTTGGCACCAAATTCGGTTGAGAAAACAACAGAATTAATCCAGTAGGGAAGCTATTTACCAAAATTAAACCCAATTTTCACAATCAAGCAAATTTTAGAACGAAATTAACAAAACACATGAAGACAGATCGTATATATATATGATCAAACCCATGAAAACAAATCGTATATATATATGATCAAACCCATTAAGACAAATCGTATATATATATATATATATGATCAAAATCAAACCCAAAACATATATATATATATATATATGCAGACAATATATATATATATATCCAGACAGATCAAAACATATATCTATATAGATGAAGATCGTACCAGAGACGGAGAGTATACAGATCGGAGGGAGACAGAGTCAAACCAGAGAGAGAGAGTTCCGATCTTGGAGAAGAAGGGGGAGATCGGGTCCGATCATGGAGGAGAAGGGTTCCGATCTCGGAGGACATCATGGAGGAGGGGGTTCCGATCTTGGAGGAGAAGGGGAGATTGGGTTCAGATCTTGTGCTCTATTTGGTTTGTGCTCTGTTTGATTTCGGCCATGGAGGAGAAGAAAGAGTGAGAATGAGAGGGAGTGGAAGAGCCGTGGAGGAGATGAGAGTGAGAAATTGTAGATAGATGTATGGCAAAATAGTGATGCCTCAGTGTAAATAAAGAGCCGTTCGGCTCTGTTTGGTTTGTTCAACAAAAAAAAAATTTTGAAATTATTTTTTACAACGGCTCTTTAAACGGCTATTTGCCCAACGGTAATATATTTTATTTCTATAAATTGAAACATTCCATGCCACTTTTATTACACACAAATATTTACATTTAATTTTTCTTTTCTTTTCTCTTCTCTTTTTTGAATCTGATTTCACAACAAACCTCTCAAATTATTTTTTTTTTAGTTTTTTCATCCAATCGCTATGGAAGGTTCATCAAAAACAAAGAGAGGAAAATCATTCACCATTGAAGAAGATATGGCAATTTGTAAATCTTGGTGTCACATTTCGGAAGACCCAATTGTTGACAATTTGCAATCGTATGCTCACTTTTGGGGGAGAATTTACGAAAATTTTTGCCTGCTTCAAAATGATCAGTCCAGAAAACAAGTGTCTATTCAATCTCAATGGGGTATAATCATGAAATGTTCTAACAAATTTCGGGGATGTTTAGCTCAAGTCGAAAATCTTCACCCAAGTGGGATTTCTCAAGTTGATATAGTAAGCTTTTATTTTCAATTATTATGTTTAGTTTCTTTTTCTGGTATAGTATAAAAATTACGTAATTAAATAATGTTTCAATTTTTTTGAAACAGATGCTTCAAGCAAAACTGTTATACCATCAAGATGAAAACAAACATTTCGCTTTTGAACATTGTTGGCCAATATTGCAAGACAATATCAGGTGACAAGATGTAGCTCCCACGAATACGGTAAAGTCAAGGATGCATACAGTGTTTACCTCTAATTCAGCCCCTGATTCCCCTATGGAAAACTGCATTTCTCTTGAAGACGACAACAGTCCAAGTGTTGGTAACAATCCAATTGTGGTGGGGGTAGTGTCACTGGAAAGGGTAAAAGGCCGATGGGTAGGAAATCTGCAAAAGAATTATTCCGGAGAAATCAAGTCATTGAAACTGAAGTCCAAAAAATGAGCATACAATTAGACACATTTAACCAACACCTTGCTGAGAAAGAAAAGAAAAAAGAGGAAAGAGAAGAAAAAAGGATTCAAGCACTGCAGGAGATGAAAGAACTTGAGATGAAAAAGCATGAGTTTGAGATGAAAAAGGAAGAACACCAAATAATGACTACGGACATTTCTCATTTGGACTCTCAGATGAAAGCGTATTACACAATGCGAAAAAATGGGATTTTCGCCAAGTGGTCCTCAAATGTGAGCAGCCCAAATTTTTATTTTCCCCTACCTCCTGATGAATAATTACGGGATAATGTATTTTTAAAATTTGCAATATCATTTATTTTTTGATGTAATTGTTAGTCTTTACTTGCAATGTAATTTTTATTTTGTAATGAAATTTCATGTTGTTTTTTTTATTTTATTTTTGTTTTATTTGCAATGTATTTTTATTTTTATTTTATTTTGTAATGTTATTTTTATTTTTATTTGCAATGTTATTTTATTTTATTTTATTTTATTTTGTAAGACATTTTATGAAAAGACATTAAAAGACATTGCAAAATAAAAAGACATTAAATGAAGAACATTTTATTAGAATAAAAAGACATTAACTGACATGAAATGACATTAACTGTCATTAAAAAGATAAATTGCAAACTTAATCTAACCCTTCAGCTCGGGACCACAAGTGTTCAATTAGATCATTACGAATTACATTATGGGTTTCAACAGATCTAATCCTTTGTCAATTCAACATAAATTGAGCATACTCCTCATTCGGATTGCGTGACACTTGACAGCCCAAATTACTGGTATCAGTCTCAAGTTGTGCTGCACTGCGTTCATTTTCTGGAATATCACGCTCGTCTTCAATGATCATGTTGTGCAAAATAATGCACTTCTTCATGATGTAGTACAGATCCTCATCACTCCAACTTCTAGCTGGCACGCTGATAATATTAAATCGTGCTTGGAGCACTCCAAATGCCCTTTCAACATCTTTCAGACATGCCTCTTGCATCCTCGCAAATAGTTGTCTCTTTGCGCCTTGAGGTTGAGATATTGTTTTCACAATCGTTGCCCAACGAGGATAGATACCATCAGTAAGATAACACCCCATGGTGTATGCGTGATTATTGATGGTGTAGTTGGCAGCTGGGGCACGTCCTCTAGTTAATTCAGCAAATAAAGGCGACCTGTCAAGAACAGTAATATCATTCAGAGAGCCAGGCAACTACCTCGAGTGCAGCTGTTGGTTTGTGATAGTGTCCAGTATAAGCACCGGCTTGGGCACTTGGACATTTATCCCAACGCCAGTACATACAATCGAAACTCCCTAACATTCCAGGAAAACCGCGTTGCTCTCCCTCTTGCAATAATCTGGCGACATCTGCTTCATTTGGAGATCTTAAGTAAACGGCTTCATAGGTAGCAACAATTGATCTGGTAAAAAAATTTAAGATGTAGTCCAGTGTACTCATTCACTTGTTGAATATTGTGTAAGATACTAACAAACAATGACCGCCTCATTCGAAAACGTCTTCGGAAGTATTCTTCTGGATAGACAGGATTATCTGCAAAATAATCTCTATAAATTTGTTCGTCGCCTTTGACGCTCTCACGATTAATGTATCGACGACCACTTGTGGAACTAACACGTCTGGTTTGTTGGTTTAGGCTTAACATCTGTAATCTTTGTTGTTGCGCTGTGAATAGTTGCATCATGATGATATCATCATCAGATGATGAAGATTCATCAAAATCTCCATTTAATATGGCTTTACTCAAATTGTTCACTGTAGGTGGATGGGTGAGTAGGTGAATATGAAAATTGTAGAAAATCTTCTTGGTGGGTACAGAGAGTTTTGAAGATATGAAAATGATAGGTAGGTGAATATGAAAATTGTAGAAAACCTTATGTTTTATTTATAGAGAAAATTATGGGTGGGTGAATGATGGATGATTATTGGGTGGGTGGATAAATAATGGGTGGTTGTTGGGTGGGTGGATGAATAATTGGTGGTTATTGGGTGGGTGGATGAATAATGGGTGATTGTTGGGTAGGTGAATGAATAATTGATGGTTGTTGGGTGGGTGGATGCGAGTAAATAAATACTAGGTTAATAATGGATGGTTGTTGGTGGTTGGTTGTTGGTAGGTAATTGGTGAAAAATTATTTTTTATGTGTAGTTAAAAAAATTTATTAAATATGTAGTGATATATTTTTTGGTGGGGTGAATTAATAATATATATATATATATATTTCCAATTTTTCATTTTTTTAAAATTTTTTATATTTGTCTAGATTAGAATAATATAAATATATAATTTTTTTAACAAATAGGTAAAAAAATTTCACAAAAGGCAAAAAATAAATAAAAATAAAATCATAAAAAACTTATATCCAAAAAATACCTACAAACTTAAAGGGAAAGTCGATTGAAATTTGTCAAAAATAATAAATAACCATTAAAACACCATTATTATAATTTATCAAAATAACACTATTTATTATCAGATTATAACAATAATAACTCCAATATAGGAATAACCATCATATGTTCTAATTTTACTGCCATATTTGAGAATCTACAAATTTGTGGTTCCCACAAAAGTCCACGTGCATAATACGATTCATGGATATATATATATATAGAATATCGTGAGACATGCAGATGAAGTAGGTATAATGGGCCCCAAAAAAATTTGGAAAGAAGATCAAAAAACCAGAATAAGTGAATGACTTATTTCATATCACAACAATGATTTAACTCTCCTTTTTTTTCTATCCCTTTGACTTCCTCTTTCTCTTATTGATTACATTTTTTTTTCCTACTCCTCCAATCACCACCCACCACGTGACAAAGGAATGAAGGAGTAACTCCCAAAAAAAGGTTCCAAGCATTATTCTTTCATATCATGCATTATTTATTATGCCAAAAAAAATTATTAAAGTCCAATGATTGTCTCAATTTTAATATTTGAATATGATGTGTTGTGATGTGATTGAATTTTTTAAATCCATCACGATTGTCTCAATTTTAATATTTGAATATTCATTCACTCATACGATGCGATGTGATTGGATCGAAGATGATCCCTGTCTATATGCTGACTCACCCATGGGCCAAGGTGTGTTCTTTTCTTTGAGTATCTTGAGTATCTGGTAAATATTATAATAATATTCACTTTGTTTATTTTTGATTTTTTTAAAATATTTTTCAAAAAATTTTACTTTTTTATTTTTTTTTATTTTTTTGTATTTTTATTGATTTTTTTAATATTTTAAGTAATTTTTTTATAAAATTTTTAGACACACTTAATACAAATACACATAAAAAGTATATTTTTTGTGAAAAAAATCTTTTAAAAATTTACTAAAAAAAGTGTCACGAATAGTGCCTACCATGACATTAAAGTGTCACTGAAAGGTTTTAGTCTTGATGGTGTAATGACACTTACAAGTGTCACTAACTCTTTTTTTAATGGCGCTTGATAGTGCCACAAATAATATCTACCATGACATTAAAATGTCATTGAAAGTTTTCAGCCATGATGGTGCAGTGACACTTGCAAGTATCTACCGTGGCACTCGTATCTACCGTGGCACCGATAGAAGTGGCACTTGTTCAAAATGCCACAAGACCAAAAAATGTCATTAGAAGAATAGTTTTGTGGCACTTTCAAATGTCACTAAACTAAGAAAATGTTGTAGTGAATACTAAAAATAAAAAAATTACAGAAATTCAGTATATTTTTTATATTTTTATTAATTTTAAAAATATTTTTCACAATTTTTTTACTTTTTAGATACATCTAATTAAGGTGCATCTAAAAAAGTAAAAGAAAATAATTAAAATTTTAAAAATATTTACTAAAAAAAAAAAAGAAAAAATAAAAAACTCAGTTTTCAAAAAATTTAATCTAAAAAATTTAAACCAAACACAACATTGTTATTATTATAATTTAACAATAAATAGTAGTAAATTATCAAATTATAGCAATGGTACTCTAATGATCACATATTATTTTGACAAATCTCAACTAATTTTTTCTCTAATTCTGTAAATGTTGTTTGGATATATGTTTTTTTAGTGATTTTGTTATTGTTTTTTTTTTTATTGTGACCTTTTTAAACTTTGTTTTAAAAAAATTAAATATTAGTTTGGGAAGATTGAAAAAAGACAAAAAGTCAAAAAGTCACTATCATATTTAAGTCACATCACCTCTCTAATACATCACTTCAAACCCAACCCAAACCCAACCCATATTTCATAAAAAGTCAAAAAGTGCACTTATTTAGTCTTCCCAAACTAGGCATTGTACATGACTAAAAAAATATAAAAATTAAAAAATTGAAAAAATTGAATTTTTTTTATATAATTCACCCATCAAAAAAATATACGACTACAAAATAAAAATAAAAATTATTAACTACAGTAAAATTACATAGACCACTACATTACATTACATTACAAAATAAAAATTATATTTAAAAAGAAATAATAAAAATAAATTCCCTCTCTCTCCCTCTCTTTAAAACTACATATATGTATGAAATTTGGGTTGAACTTTCCGAAAATGGTGAACTTTGCCACAAAAAAAAAAAAAAGAAACTATTTTGTCGCAAAAAATGGGAGTTTTGCCGAAAAATGGTGAACTTTGCCGAGAAAAAAAATCAAAGATTTTGGAAGGTTTTTCTAGTGAATGCATTCTGTTTTTTTCAACTGATTTAGAGCCAAAACTTTTTTGATCTTTGATGATGTGGCACGTTTGGCACCTACTATTCTTCTTGTTAAATTCGACAACAAAAATGGCATATTCTATATTTGGCAACAAGAATACCAAGCCATTAGGGATCCCTTTTTTGTTAATCTTATCAAATTGAAACTTGGACTGCTTCTTTGACGGCTGCATTGAAGATGCTCTTATGTCTCAAAAAAATCTCCTCACTAGAATTGCACAACACTACCTCATAGCTAGACAAAAGTTCATCCTATCCTTCCTCCACATTGATACTGCAAGACTTATCTATGGAGAAATTATTGTATGCTCTTCTTGTTGAGAAATAATATTTTTTTGGTAACTTTAATTCAAAATTAAAGTAGAACTCAACCGTTATTTGAGGTGGTCCCAGTTGGATTGTATTATCTTATGTAAGAAAATTACAATATAAAAATAATGGGCCGAAACCATTGAGTTGTGAATGGGGATTGTCTTATAAAGTAGGCACCAATAAAAGTTGGGCTTAGATTTGGACTTAATCTTGGTTTGAACTAGGCCTAGACTTGTATTTGTGCATGTGCTGAGTTTGGTCTTGGTTTTGGTCTTGGTCTTGGACTCGGTCTTGGACTTGGACTTAGACTTAGACGTGGGCTAAGCTATGTTGTATTGGGCTTAACTTGTACATGTGTTTGAGATTAGGCTTGGATCGAGTTGTGACCCAACATTTGTGTCGGTTTTGTGGCCCATTAGGTTTGAATAACATTATATACATATTTAATTATATATAGGGCAAAACACCAATAAATCCCAAATTTTAATATGTTAAACCATTTGGTCCTGTCTTTTATTTTGTAGACTAGTAAGTCCTATTTGAATGTTAAAAGCTCACTATAGGCCTTTTTTAGATCTCCATCCTTTCCGAACATCAGCAACATCAACTACACCAACAACATCATCAAAAATCACCAACATCATAAAACATCATCAACATTGATCAAACATCAACTACATCATCAAACATCATCAACATCACCAACATCATAAAACATCATCAACATCGTCAAACATCAACTACATCATCAAACATCAACTATATCATCAAACATTATCAACAACACCAACATCATAAAACATCATCAAACATCAACTACAATATCACGAACATCACCAACATTGTGAACATCATCAAACATCAACTACATCTTCAACCTCATCAAACATCATCAACATCATAAAACATCATCAAACATCAACTACATCATCATATATCATCAACATCACCAACATTGTGAACATCATCAAACATCAACTACATCTTCAACCTCATCAAATATCATCATACACCAATAAGGGATACAATATATTGATGTTTATACAATATAACAAACAAAGATACCACACCAAATATAAAATATAACAAACAAAGATACCATACCAAATATAAAAATGACTAAATGGTTTACAAAAAAACACTCAGGACTAGATAGAGCAACATTTCCCAATATGAGATTTATGAGTAATTTTTTCTTATATATATTATGCACATGAGAGTTTTGTACCTTTGTAACTCAAGTCCTAATGATTAGAGTTGATGGCTGTTGATACTAGGTTTTATGATAACCTTCATGACTAAGACCCATTTTCTACAAATATAAAAAAAGGCCTTTCTCTTCCAACTTAGATATATGATATAGAAATGTTTTTGAGATAGAAAACTTGTGATTTTCTTTAGATAAAATTGGAGATGGTTTTTACATCAAAGAAATTTGTTCATATATATCTTCTTTTTGCTAGCCTCTTCTTTGATTCTTGTTAGAAAGAGAGAGAGAGAGAGAGAGAGAGAGAGAGAGAGAGAGAGTGTGTGTTGCCATTGTTAAGTTTGCCGAAACTATTCAGAAGGTGCTTCTGCTCTAGTTGGTTTCGATCGTCGTATCTTAGGAGACAAATACTGGCGTACCTTCAACACCCATTGTGGAGGCAGCGAATAAAACTGTGGATACACGACTTTCGGTTTGCTTATTTTCTTGTTATGTGTTCTTTAATTTTTTTTAGAATTTATTTTACCTTGACAAGTTCTAATATTTAGTTAGCTATATTAATACTTTTTTCTATTAATCATTTTGTTTATGCGAGGTTCATGATGTAATCTAATTCATTCTTGTATTTTTAGTTTTGTAATTTATTATGTATTTCATTCTTTCATAAAAAAAATTGTTTTGTTATTTCAATTTAATTTAATTATATATATTTTTCTAGTATTATTATGAAAAAATACCAACAATCTTAGAATAGATTTTTGTAAATAGTTTTGATAAAATAATTTAGTTTTATTATAGTTTTATTATAGTGACTCTTGGAATTAAATTTAATTTAATTACCTAGAGTTATTGTATTTGAGTTGTTTATTTCTAGCAATTTATTCATATAATTTATTTTATTTTATTTAGTTGTTATTGCATAAGTTATTTGGTTATTAGTGCATGAGTTACTAATAGTTGATAAAATAAAATAAGAATTTTATTTCTTAAGATTTTTACTAATTTATTTGATTTGTTTTCTTTTGTAGCTAATTTTCTCTACATGTTTACGTAAGTGCAAAAGGAGGATATATAATACAAATGAACAAAACAAATTGAACTAGTAAATTGAATTACTAATTTTTGTTTGAATATGATTACCTTTGTATAGAACAAGGAAGAATATTGGACCTTCGGATTTTTAGACATATTTGTGAATTTTATTATTGACTTTATTGTTCGGTTTTATTTTGGATTTATTTCGTATGTTGTTTTGAAAGTTTGGTAACAATTTTGATTTAATTTGATTGATTAAATTTTGAAAAAAAAACAAAGAGCTGGATTTAGAATTTTGAGAATTTCAAGAGGTACGTCTAGTTGAGAGGTTTTCGATAGTATAAAATATCTCCAAATAAATTTGTTTTGAGAGAAAATTTAGTAAAACAGTTTCGACTTTTTCTAGTATAATAGTCTCATTACTGCGCTTGCTTATGATTATGTTGTATTATCGCCTGGTGATATAACTTAGCATTGTAATGACATTAACTCTTATTTATTTATTTATTTTGGGTATCAATTGTGGGTTCTTTCATGTCTTGATGTGTAATCAAGAAAATTACTCCAAAATATTTTTGTATTCATGGAATGGTAATTGGAAGTTTAACTCTATTGTCAATGCATTTATAAACTTTTGAATAACACAGTGTAAGTTATAGCTGAAATTACTTGTGTAATATTCACTTTATCAGTTCATAAATTCGTCTTATATCTAAGTATGTATATAAGCAATGAGCATGGAGATTTAGCGACAACGATGATAGGGTTTTGTAATGTGTTTTATACAAAGATAAGCATTACAAGTGGAGAAGTATATTCTTGGCTA